TGATGAAAATTCTCTAGACTTGTATAATTCTGATAATATGGGTACAATAGCTGAATTGGCCGATGCTATAGACCGATTCCTAGATAATACAACAATATGTAGAACCATTTTAACAAATCAAATTAAAAGATCAACAAGAGCAATTCAACGTAAATATACTAACCTGCAACAAGATCTGGTGAACGAATGATGGAATCGTGATATATACAGGCAGGAGCGAGACCAGACATTGCTTGAACTTCATTAGTTACGGACTAATGCTCAGAATCAAGTAAACAGAATGATAAATAATATAACAATAAAGTAAACCCGTATTGGTGCATTGCTATATGAAAATTTTGCTTTCTAGTTATTGTATTAGCGAAATGCCTGCCACCTACAACGATGCAGAGCTGATAAAGCTTTGCTAGAATATAATCGAGATAGGTTATATGAACGATATGAAGTGGAAAAATAAGACTCATACAGAGCACCAAAATATTTTAATTTTAAATCAACAAATTTTTGCACTACAGAATAATCTACCTAATATACAACGAATAGGAATGGCAGGAATACCGCAACCATTTTTTGACTGGGGTGAAGATATACCAGATTTCTTTGCAAAACTTAGATCAATCGACAACATAATAATAGGAGAAACAGATGTAGTAAGTAGAGGCATAGCCTTATTGCTTTTGCAATAAAATTTTGCTAAAGCTAAGAAGCTAAGACAATAAGCTAAAGAATCTCAATTTATTAATTTAGATGATCCAGACTATGATCCCAAAGATGACGATTTTCTTGAAAGTGATCCTTTTTATTATGTTTCAAAAAAATATGCACAATATTGTATAGATAATGATGCCCATAGTCGTCTAAGTCGTAGGGACGCACTAAATATTCTAGATCAAAGTTAATAAATATTTTTTTATTTGTATGCCGTTTCGGCAAAAAAAAATTTTATTAAATAAAGAAGAGGGTCCTGTGGCCTTCCTATGTTTTTTTTTTACGCGATTTTTTACAATGTAGTTTGTGATTATTAATTAGTGGAAACTATTAAGTTAATTTCATTAATCTATGCTTTTAATATGCACTGATTAAATAATCAGAATTCTTATAAGTTTTTTTCTCGCTACTTAAATCATAGTAATAACCTGGTTCATCTTCGTCAGAAAAACCGCAATAATCTCCATCATCGTTATCATCAGAGAATTCATCATCGTTATCATCAGAGAATTCACCATCATTTTCATTATACTTATCGAATACATTTACAGTTTCTGGTTCCTTTGAAATCGATTTAGCAGATATGCTTACCTCAGTTTCTGGCAAAGATTTGACATCCTCATTTATCATAACTTCTGAATTATATGTATGAGACAACAGGATAAGGGGTGGTTGTAATACTTACCTCTATTTCTGATGAAATTCTTTTAGCTTCCTCATTAATCTCAGTTTCAAGTAAGTCATCAGAAGAATTATCGGTGAATTCTATCGCAGGGTTTTTAGTGTAAAATTGTAATGTATCCCTTAATCCGTATGTAAATTCAGGGCAAATTTGCCCCAAATTTTATAAGATCATTTTTACATCATTTAATTATAATTAATATATTATAAATCGATTCCAAAATTAGTAAAAAACAATAAAAAACAAATATTTAATAAATTTATTCATTTTTTACTATGAAAATCTGTAAAACAAT